CCCACTTGTTTCTTGAGGAGGGATACATGGAAGACAAGGTGGAGTTTGGAGGATGGTGGAAGTTCTAGCTTGTAGGCGACTGACCCAATTCTCTCCAAGACTTTGAAGGGTCCATAAAGCCTGGGAGCCAGTTTCTGCCATGCTTGCTTGGCTACTGAGGTTTGTCGGTAGGGTTGGAGATTCAAGTAGACCATGTCTTCAGGCTGAAATTCCAAGGGACAATGCTTGTGGTCATATGTATCCTTCATTACCTGCTGAGCCCGCTGCAAATTGTTCTTAAGCTCCTGCAAGATTAAGTCTCAGCTGGTTAGGTATTCGTCTACTGCAGCTACAGTAGTGGAGCCTGTCTTGTAGGGGAGAATGGCAGGGGGGTCTCTCCCATACAAGGCCTTGAAAGGTGTCATACTGGTAGTCACATGGAAGGTGGAGTTATTCCACAGTTCTGCCCAAGCTAACCACTTCAACCACTGTTTTGGCTTCTGCCCCGCGAAGCACCTCAAATAGGTCTCGATGCATCTGTTAACTACCTCTGTCTGCCCATCAGACTGGGGTTGATAGCTCGTGGAATGAGCTAGGTGTGCCCCGTGGATTTTAAAGTACTCCTGCCAAAATCTCCCCATAAATAGAGGATCCCGGTTAGAGACGATGGAGGCTGGTGTTCCATGCAGTTTTGTGATGTTTCTGACGAACAGATCTGCTACCTGTGTTGCTGTGAATGGGTGTGACAAGGCTGAGAAATGAGCATATTTGCTAAATCTATCCACCACCACCATGATCACTGTCTTGCCTTGAGAGGGTGGTAAGCTGGTGATGAAATACATGGTGACATCATCCCGGACCTGATTTGGTATCTCAAGGGGCTGAAGGAGCCCAGCTGGTTGTTGAGTATCATATTTCTGCTGTTGACAGGTTGGGCAGCCGGCCACAAAAGCCTGCACATGCTTCCTCATTCCCCTCCAATAGTAGTGTGCTGCAATGCACTGATAAGTACTTAGTATCCCTGAGTGACTGCCTTCAACGGAGGAATGAAATAACTGTAGAAGCTCCGTTATGTGTGAGGATGATGAAGGTAAGACCAGTCTCCCCTTATAGTACAAGAGGGAGTCCTTCACAATGTAGCCCGGTGTTTTGGTTGGGTCCTCGGCCCATCTTCTTTTGATAGCCACCAGCTCTTCATCGTTCAATATCTCCTGTTTGAGTAGCTCCAATAGTGGGTGCACGGGTCTAGATTCTGCCATCAACTGTAATTCATTTTGTCTTGACAGGGCATCTGCTACCTGATTAGAAGCTCCAGTTTTGTATTCTATCAAGTAATCAAACCCCAATAACTTGGACACCCATTTTTGCTGATCTTCCGTAAGGAGATGCTGCTCCAACAGATATTTGAGGCTCTGTTGATCGGTTCTGACGATGAAGCATCGTCCTAGGAGGTAGTGGTGCCATTTAAGGACAGACAAAACGACAGCCATTAGTTCCTTAACATAGGTAGATTGGGCAACTTTACTGAAATAAGCCAGGGGTTTACCCCCTTGCATCAAAACAGCTCCGATGTCAGTGCCAGATGCATCGCATTCTACTACAAAGGGCTGCTCAAAATCTGGTAGGACCAATGTCGGCGGAGTGGAGACTGCTGTCTTCAAGGAGCTGAAGGCTCATTGGGCCTCCCCCGTCCAGTAGAAGGCGTCCTTCCGGAGGAGTTGAGTCAGAGGTGCTGCTATCAGCCCATAATCCCTGATAAATCGTCTGTAATGCCCGGTTAGGCCTAGGAAGACCCGCAGCTGTCTAACTGAAGTGGGCCTGGCCCAATGCCTTATACTGGTTACCTTCTCGGGATCGGACTTCACCTACCCTTCCTCCACCACATGACCAAGATAATGTACTCGACCCTGCCCAAAGACACATTTGGAGGGCTTGGCCAAAAGCTGATTTTGCCTTAGCACATCTTGAGTTAGCTTCAAATGTAGAAGATGCTGCTCCCAATCAAAGCTATAGATAAGAATGTCATCAAAAAATACTAAAATGAACTTACGAAGATAGGTACTGAATATGTCATTCATGAGTGATTGGAAAGTTGACAGTGTGTTGCACAGACCAAACGGCATGATTAAGAACTCGTAGTGGCCATCATGAGTCCTGAAAGCCGTCTTATGCACATCATCACTGTGGACTCGGATCTGATGATACCCGGACCTGAGATCCAATTTTGAGAGAACCCGGGCCTTCCGTAGTTCGTCTAGTAGTTCATCGATCAAGGGAATTGGGAACCGGTCCTTAACGATGATGGAATTCAATGCTCGGTAATCCACGCAAAACCGCCAAGAACCGTCCTTCTTCACTAGTATAACTGGGGAGGAATATGGGCTGTTGCTGGGCTGTATGAACCCCTTTTGTAGGAGGTCTTGGACTAAGTGCTTGATTTCTTGGCATTGATAGTATGGGTACCGGTAGGGCCATACATTTGCTGGTGCTGCCCACGGTACAATGGGAATCAGATGGTCATGAACTCTCTCGGGAGGGAGCCCTTGTGGTTCTTGAAAGACGTCAGGGTACTTGGCTAGGACTGCTTGCAACTGTGGATCTGGATTGCCTATCCTACCTTCATTGCCTATGGGCTTCAGATGTGGGCCAGGAGTGCAGGCCCCTAAGAGCATCAAGGTGGGCCGGTTTAGGTCCCAACTGTTTTGATTATAGAGCTGAGGATAGCTGGTTGTGGAACCAACAGCCTAGAGCTGCTTAGAGTTATGGTATGATCCCCCCTTTAGAATTCCATGGTCAGTTTGGACCAATCACAAACCACCCGACCCAATTGTTGCAACCACTGTACCCCAAGCACAATGTCAGCCCCACCGAAGGCCAATGTGTATAGATCAGCGCAAAAAACCTCTCCTTGGATGACTAGCTCCATGTCTTTACAGACCCCTTCACATGGTATCTAACTTCCGTTGGCAACTTGGACATTGAATTTAGAGGTAGGTCTAATGGTCACCCCCATCTGGATGGCCAAGTCATCTGAAATGAAATTCATAGTGCTTCCACTATCCACCAAAATGGATACCTCCCGGCCCTTCAATCTACCCATGACACGCATGGTTTGGGGTGACGTGAGGCCTGTGAGGGCCTGTAGGGAAATCTCGAGCGGGCCAAGTCCGAATATCATATCAAGGCTAGTTGGGTTGTCTTCTTCAAGGCCCTCCACAGCCTACTCTCCCTCTTCTGGCCCATCTGTCTGCAGCAAGAAGGCCTGTTGGGCCTTACATCGGTGACCTGGGCCAAACCGTTCATCACAGTCGTAACATAGGCCCTTGTCCCTACGGGCCTGCATCTCGGCCCATGTCAGCCTTTTGTAGGGGACGTTGGGCTTGAGGCTTGGGTTCTCTAGCTTAGTGCGCCCGGTAGTGACTGAGTCCGGGCCGCTTCTGTCTTCAGGGCCATGCCCCATTGTAGGTCTCTTCAAGAAGGGTCCTTGAAGGCAACTTAGTGGTCTTCTGAGTCTGCCGAATTTTTCTTCATAAAGCCTGGCCAGGCTACAGCAGCCATGACCATCGGGGGTTGCATGGATTTCACCTCCACTCGAATATCCTCCCTCAACCCTCCGATAAAACTGCCCAACAGGGCATTTTCCGGCCACCCCTGTACCCTTAAAGATAGACGCTCAAATTCCACCTAATATTCTCTCACTGTACCAGTCTGTCTTAACTTAGCAAGTTGTTCGTCGTAGTTTTCGAATCCAGTGGGTCCAAACCGCACACATAGAGCATCGGTGAAATCCGCCCAAGTCACTTGGGAATGTGACCGACGAAACCACTGGAATCAGAGAATTGCTTCTCCTTCCAGATGGATAGTGGCAATTGAAACCCTCTGATCTCTGGGTATCTCATGGTACTCAAAGTACCTCTCAATCCTATAAATTCACGGTACAGGGTCCTCACCTGAAAAGTTCGGGAAGGTGATTTTGGTCTGCCGCAACACTCCATTTCCTCAAGATAGGTTGCTGGGCTGGCTGCTATCTTCTCCTTCGCCTTCCGTGTTCTCACTGGCAGTTGCCTTCTCCAGCTTGGCCAAGACCGCTGATAGTGTAGCCTTGATCTCAGTGATATCTCCTTCTAGTTTCTTGATACGATCATCACTAACGGACGCTCTCGTCCCCACCATGGTGTCAACCCAAGATTGGGCTCTGATACCACTTGGTAGGTTTCTGCCTACCTCACGAGCTTCTTCGAGGGAGCTCAGGCCTCCTACAGAAGAGAAGAGAAGGGAAGATGGCTTTTGGTGCTCAAAAAGGTAATCCCCTTTATTGCTATTCCATTATTTATAGCCCCATTACATCACATGGGTATGATTCAGTTATAACTAACTGGATGACCTGGTCCTCTCACGTAGGTCTTCGAATAAGGCTGTATGGGGACCATACTGCTAGGCTGAACAGTGGTAATGCGCCTAGCTGTGCTCCTATCAGAAAGGGTATAGTTGAATTAAAATTTACACTTAATTGAAGTACCCAACACAAGATGGTACCTATGTACAAGTAATTGTAAATCATGGCTTGAATTAGTAAACAAAAGTTGAAGAGTTATATCCTAATAGAGGAGATAGCCCTAGACAGAATAGAATGTTGGCCTCAGATAGTTTATAAGCTTAATTAAGCTCAGTTGTATTAACTAATACTCAAATGTGGAGAAGGGGAGAGGATCTGTCAAGTCACCATCTAAAATCCTTAATGAGTATCTATGTTTGCCAACCAAGGTTGCTTGGGGATTTCAACAACTAAGCAAGTCTTCATATTCTTTTCTCACTAACTTAAAATGTGCATTCTTTAGTACTCCAACTCATCCTTTCAGTGTGTAGGAAATCATCCAGAACTATAATTTTGACCTTCAAATTTGGCACTTAAAACATAATTTTAGGTAAATAGTTAGTGCTTTGGTAGCGTCAAGAAAAGCTTAAGCACATTAGGTTTTTAAAGATAAAGGTTAGACCTTGGCTTGGTGAATAGAACATACCTGTATGTTAATTCCAGATTCTAGAGCTTTTTGAAATAGTCTATCCACACGTACTAGGTCATTTGGCAATTGTTCCTGCATGTTTTCCGAGGGAAGATTCTAGAAATCATTAATAAAGCAACATCATGGTAAAGGAGTAGACACAAAGGTGCAGAAGCTGTAATACAAAGTACTAAACAATAGGAATGATGTAGTATGTGGAAAGAATTTCCAGTGATATAATAATAATAATAATATATTTAATATAAAAAAAGTTTTGTAAAAACACCTCTAAACAGGTGTATCGGAGCTCAAAGATATAATATGATACGATACGCCCCATATCAGGTGTATCGTATCGATACTTTGAACCTTGGGTCCAAGAAATTAGAACCAATGATATCTAGATCAAGAAAGAACCGGTTGAATAAACATAAGTACAAAACCTAGAAATAAGCATCTAGGATCCTCTAATTAACACTGAGAGGATCTACCAGGAATGAGGAATCAATACCAAGCAGAATTTTGAAGGAATTAGAGTATTCAATGTGTCAGGAAATTAGCATAGCAAAGAAAAATCAAACCAAAATCAAAATAATTATAGAAACCTTGAGGTTCTGTTTCAGTCAAATTATGGATCTTCTATAGATTTATTTCCAAATAAAGAGTTCAAAATACTTTCAACGCCATACATATAGACACACTCCAGAACTAACTGAAGCTCCTTACAACCTTCTAAGAATAGAAATTAAATTATTACAACAATGATGTATATTTTTCGTAACTTCTCTTAAAACAAACCGTTTAGGTTATAAAACTCTTATTTGAGAATTCAAACAGAAGATCACATCAAATGCCTGCTGCATGTAAAACAAACATAACTCAATGTAATAATAAAATGTTGAGTTTGATAACTGCTTTACATACCCCTTCTGATAACACCCAAATCAACTGGGAAAACTTTGACACCTCAAATTTACGCCACACATAGAATAACAAACTTGAGACAGTATGCTCTTTTTGTTTTGAGTTGAACATTTGGGCCAAGTTGGCCCAGGGCCCAACTGACTGGTCCCACCTTTTATTTGGACTAAGCAGCCTTTCAAAACTTATAAGTTGGGCTCCAACTGAAATTGGATTATATATGGAAAAATATTTCTAGATCTGGTCAACTAGGGAAGCTCCTTAGATGACTTTGCCTATTTGAGCCATGTGGAGGAATCCTGTCGAATTCAGACTGTCCACCAGATGGAGGACCCTCTGGATTGGCCATGTGTACACTCCACACTCCATCTCAGCCCATACCCCAACCCACTTTTTATAGGAGTTTTAACCAATTAATGATAACTGTCCAATTTCTGGGTGCATGTGGATTAGGCCAGCTGATGCAAGTTTGATTTTTTATCCTTCTTTCTTCCCTTGGTGTCATAGAAGAGGAAGAATTATGTGGAGGTGTGCAAGAGCAGCACCGATTTGGTCAATGTGGGAAGAGAGATACCAGAATTTTCCAAGAGAAGGAAAGAAGCCTAGAAGAGCTGAAGGAGTGCATCCTAAATAGGGTGGTCTTGTGCCTAAAATCATTGGACCTATTCCATCAAGTCTCATTTAATGATATTTGGAGGAATTGGTTAGCAGGTGGCAAATTGTTCACCCTTAAAGGCTAGAGTGAGTATGGGTTGAGAACCCCCTCCTGTAAGCTTATTGAAGCTGAATTTTGATGGGGTAGTAGTCTTGGTAATCCGGGCCGATCAGGGGTGGGAGGGGTACTAAGGAATGTGTCTGGAAATGTGGTTCTTATTTACTCAGGCCCCATAGGAGTTGGAAACTCTACTAGGGCGGAACTTCTAGCTGCTACCCAGGGAGTACAACTAGCGGTGCAGATAGGTGTGGAACAATTGCTAATAGAAGGGGACTCCATAGTGGTAGTGGGTTGGCTACAAAACCCAGATTCTATAGTGTGGTGCTTTAAGAATGAAATTAAGAAATTCAATTGGCTGATAAGGAGTTTGACAGTGAGAATACAATGGGTGGAGAGATCAGCAAACGCTATGGCTGATGGTCTTGCAAAGCAAGGGATAAATAGGGAAAGATTGTATTGGGCTCAACTGTAAATTGAATCTGTTTTCTGTTTTTGATTTCTTGCTTTTTTCCTGATGTTAGGTGAGGTCGCAAGTCGCGCCTCTCCATGGGAGCTTGTAACTGCTTTATTCTTCCTTTAATGAAAACTTAATTTACTTATAAAAAAAAAAAAAAACTGACCAATTTTTTCAAATTTTTATTTTACCCAGAAAGACTTGAGGAGTTATAATGAAAACATGGCAATGATTTTTTATCTATAATTTGTTCCAAAGATAAGGATGCAGAGAGAAATGTGGATAGTCCTCTTGAGCCCCAAAATAAGTTGCCACAGGAATTTCCTAGGTTAGGGAAGTTCAACAGGTGACCTGGCTACCAAACATGCAATCAGTCTGCAACAGGTGAAGCCAATATGTGCATATATTTTATACACACAACCATTAAACTATCCATTATCTTCTCCAAAGAAACCTCTTTTCAATTTGCAACCCAGCATTGGCTAATATAAGTTCTACCGAAAAAATACAAATAATGCATGTTATAAAGTATGCAATATTATTTGTGTTCAGGTCTTCTTTTTTCCACAACAATGTCTAAGACAAGATATCAACTGTCTATGGAAAAGGAAAGACCAAGGTGGGTTAGGAATAGGGAATCTAGGGAAGAAGGACATTGCTTTATTAGGGAAATGATTATGGAGGTTCCTTGTTGGAGGAGAAGCTATGGCATAAGGCGGTGGCAATCATTCATGGGCTCATAGATAATGGATGGGATGCTGGTTTATCTCGCAAAGCTACCCTTACCTCTCCTTGGAAGGCCATCAATAGTGTTCTCCCTTGGTTTGTCAACTGCATCTGGTATGATCTTTGCTCTGGTAATAAAATAAAATTTTAGGAAGATCTTTGGGTGGGGAATGTGCCTTTGAAAGACCAATTCCCATCTCTTTTTTCACTCTCTTCTGTCCCTCCCCAAATCCCACATTGGCGGGAGCCTCGTGCACTGGGATGCCCTTTTTTCCTTCTTCTCCCAATAGGCTCGATAAAACTTGGGTCTTAGGAGAAATCTAGGGGACTCAGAAGCCTCTTCAGTTGGTGACCTTTGGCTGCTCCTTGATGGGACTTGCCTCAACCCTAGTAAGAGTGATGATAGAATTCGGGTACCTCTTTAGATTTTTTTTTTTTGGGAGAAGAAACTGGTTATCCTTCTCACCCAGCCACTCATCTGTCACCTCTGTTAGGGTCAATAAGAGTACTATAGAGCTTTTGCAACAAACGAGCAAAAGGTTTATCTCCCAGTCATTTAAAGCTCTTCCAACAAGGGGATTCCAAACACAATTTCCACTGGAAAATTGCAAATAATCTGCTACCTTTGCTTCCTTATCCACTACTACTACAAATAATTCAAGGAAATCATCTTTCAAAAGACTACCTCCACAGTCCACACCAGCAATCCTTCCAGTCCCCACTTAAAAATTGATTTCCTTGCTGAGATGGCTATAGCTTTTCTCTATCCCATTCCATACCAAGCATCCATATGGCTGACTTGCTTCACCTGGCTCCCAACCCCAACTTCTTAGACCATATTTTGCTTTAATTACTCTCCTCCACAGGCTATCCTCTTACTGACCAAACCTCCAAAACCATTTGCCGAGAAGGGCAATAGGCAATATTCAAATCTTTCAATCTTCTGATTTCCGAACCTCCACTTTTCTTGTGCTTGAAGACCCTCCCCCAGTTTACTAGACGAATCTTCTTAACGTCCTTCCAGCCTTTCCATAAAAGCTCCCTCATTTTCTTTTCAATAGAGGCTGCCATCCCAGCTGGAATTGTGTACATGGACAGTAAATAGACTGTGATAAGTTACAGCACACTTTTAAGTCTTTGGTTGGTTTGAACCCCCACCCACACACACACTCACACACCTCTCATGGTGATTTCCTGTGAAGGAAGTTTGGTGTTTGCTCATTCCGCCCCCCCAAAAGTGTTGCCTTTTTGCTGGGAAGTGCTCCATGGTATCATTAATACCTATGACTTGGTAAAGAAAAAGAGGCCTGACTGGTTTTTATCTCCTCACGAGTGTTATCTCTTTTTCTTTTTGTGCAAATCAAATGGTGGCACTATCCACCACTTTACTAATCTCCTGTTCTTTTGTCTACTATATCTGGGTGGTTGTAGGTGGACCCTCCAGGAAGCTTGGACAGGTTGTTTGAGCCATCTACTTTCAGGTTTCCAAAAAGAAGAGGTAGGTGTGGAGGTGTACCAGGGCTGCAGCATTATGGACTGTTTGAGAGGAAAGAAATGCTCAAGTGTTTGAGAATAAAGAGAGAAGCTTAGGCTGTGTTTGGAAGCAATGTAAATGTTTACGCCGGTTAGGTTTTGTCGGCGTTTGGAAGGAGTGTAAATCAACATCGACGTAAAACTCCACTCTGGTTTAGATTTGTCGGCATTTGGATGGAGTGGAGTTTTACATCGTAAATCGATGTAAAACCTCATCACATGTACAGTTTTACATTGATTATTGATGTAAATACTACATTGATAAAATTGATGTAAAACTCCACGCTTTTCGAATTCACATTTTTCAAAGTTAACGGTCACTTTTTTATGGTTCAGTGTAAAACCTCATCGATGGACTTTTACACCAATGAGGTTTTACATCAATTCCAAACAAAGCCTTAGAGACTATCATAAAGACCATTACAGTAAGTAAGAGTGGCACATTGGGTCAAAACCTTACACATATTCTCAGACTTCACAATTGATGACATTATGAGGAATTGAGGTGCAGTAGCTAGAGCTTCATCAAGAAAAGCCCAAGTGATAAAGAGTTGGACACCACCAGAAACAGGTTTTTTGAAAAACTTTGATGGGAGTAGCTTTAGGTGTAGGAGGAGTTATAAGAGGGGAAGCTGAAGGCATTCTTGCTATGCTTACAGGACCTATAGGAGAAGGTAATTCAATCAAAGCAGAACTTATGGCAGCAGTGACTGGGGTGCAAAAGACAAAGGATATGGGGGTGGAGAGACTTGTAATTGAAGGGGACTCAAACTGTGATAAGTTGGTTGAAGGAGGGTCAGGAGATGTCGTGCTATAGAAACGAGATCGAGAAATTCAGGTCAATCATGAGAAACATGCAGCCTAAAATATGTTGGGTACCTAGATCAGAAAACTCCCTAGCAGATGCCTTGGCCAAGCAAGGAGTTCACAGAGGACCATTGTTTTGGGCTCAACTGTAAAGCTAAAAGGGAAAGGGCTGATTTTTGTATTGGATTTGGTTCTGATTGGTAACACTGAGAAGTTGGTTTATTGTGTTTATGGGGTGGTTAGATGGGGCTAACTACCACTCCTTGGGATCTAAGTTTTCTGAAGTATTTTCTCCATTTTTAATTAATAAAATATTTCTGTTGCCTATCAAAAAAGAAAAAAAAATATATATAGCAAGTGTCTCCAGATACTCAGCATGCAAAGAGACTCTTAATCTTTTTATTTTCCATTTTTGAAAGTTAAACACAATTAGAAGATAAATTCTCTAATACATAAAAGACTGTCATTACAAAACATAGATGCAGAGAAAGAAGAATTAGGAAGGAAATTATGGCTTAGAACAGTGAATATTCTATTTTATACTTGTATCAGAGGAAGTATGCAAGACATTTAGAAGGTTAAAGATAGATGATATCATCTGGAGAACATAGGCCATGCCATGAACTAAATGTAAGCAAAAACTACATTTCAGTCCAAAACCTCCAAATCCAATTAATCAAGAGGGCAGTCTCTCACTAAATTGATGTTTGAACCCCTAGGTCAGTCTTCCACAAGGTAAAAAACTGTGACTGCAGGCTTGAAAAACAGTATCCAAACCTTTCACCAGGATTTAATAGTTGGTGCCATAAAAAGGACAACACCTTTGACAAAATTGACCTTTACCTTAATTTTTTTTTCCTTATAGATGATCACAAGAAGAGTTTTCTCAGGCAACCTAGACTTTTTCATGAGAAAACCTATTCTATTTCAGACATGCTGTTAGAGGGATGATGTCACCAATCCAAGAAATCCACCAAAGAGGAGAACCTCTAGTTTAGCTAAGTCTACAGTTCCCCAGTCCAAACCTCCAATTCCCTAATCCTCATCAACTAGCCCTCTGTGTGGGATAACAAATGAATTCAAAATTCTCAATCTTAAAAAAGCCCAAAAGGACTTTACTTTTGTTGGTCTATTCACATAGTAAATCCATCTCAATTTACTAACATACAAATATATGTATGGAGACAATCTATATATCTACCTTTAGATCATCATCATCCAATTCTTATCCCAACTATATAGGGTTGGCTACAAGAATCCTGTTTTGTTGTTCCATTCTGTTTAATGCCATATTTATCTAGCTTTAGGTGCATAGTATAAATTTGGAGGGTCAAGGCTACTTGGGCCAAGTCTAGAGTGACAGAATTCCAAATTTTTTACATATTTATTTTTATGGGCACTCTAGGTGCACTTCATATAATGTATCTTACAAAAATTGAGAGGCCTACTACTTAGTCCGTTTAGATTATATAGCATAGTCATGCAAACTTTATTTTATATTTTTTCTGGTGTTCTTATTGAGGCATGGGTGTAGGTGATGGAAACACCCCCTAGCTCAGCCCCTGACTGGGAAAGAAAAGAACTAGCTGATTACCATGACAAAAGAACTCACCTTGTAAAAGGACTCAATACAAAAACTTGGATTTGCTCCTAATGTTATGGTGAAGAAGGAAAAACTAACAGAAAACTTCTGCAATAAATATGCCAGATCAACAGTCCAAATGCTGCCAAAAAAAAACAGTAGATAAATAAATCTAATCGAAAAAGAAAAAGAACAGAAAAATCCAATTGAATGAAAAAGTTCATCAGAATAAATATTAATGATGTGAATGGTGTAATAAACTATAAAGCAACCATCTCAAAATAAAAGAAAATTCATTTCTACTTCCAACCAATAACAGCGTCAAAGCATCATAGCAGTCAAGATTATTGATCAGAAAATTAAAAGAAAGGCACTCACCAACCACTAAGTCTTGCATCTGGTCCAAAGTAATGCAAATCTTGTGTAAATGAATTCTTAAGTGTCTTTTACCACAAGTTGATGTTTTAATAAAAGGATGTTGTATCATAGCATATTCCTCTTACTAGTTCATTTCTGCTGGGTTCTGCACTATTTATTCTATTTGCCTCATCTTTCTATCATCCCCGTATTAAATTTCATTCAAAAGATCATGTTATCCTCAGTAAGAAAAATTCTAGAAGCCTTTTTTTAAATGTTTAAAACAGACAAGCAACTATCATAAAAAATTAAACCCCACAACTATTTCTTAACCAGATAAAAAATTCTTATCTAAGTAAAAGTTGAAAAATTCTGCTTCTAGTTTACAGTTTCACATAAAAGATTAGGATCTTATTTTACTGACCCTATCCAATATTGGGATCTTATTTTCAAGGAAATGGTTTAACCTATTTTCAGACATTTGTCCTTATAAAGTTACATAAAATCAAATTCTTATGGCAAATGGTAACATAAGGATTTGAAAGTTTCACATTTCAGATAAGAATAATGTACCTTGTTGTGCGGCAAAGTTCCGCTAAGCTACAAAGGTCACACTGCTCAATGCCGAGAGTCCTCAAAACCATCAAAACACAAGCAAGACCGCAGTCCCAACTATATAGCTGGCTAATGTGTGGGACCTACAAGTATTACCACACCTTAATGGAGAAAAAAACTGTTCATGCTTTATAGAAATTAGATATTATTTCTTTATCAATATATGAGGGGCTAAACATGTTTCTTGAAATACATATTAGATAAAAAATAATCAAAAAGGAAACAAAGAGTATTGGTAGGTTTGGGATTGACTAACTTCCACAAAGTGAGAACGGGGCAAACCGGCATGGTAGATCTTTCCACCATTTAATGAATGCACAAATGGATAGCCTACAGAAAAGCTAGAACCACCACCATTGGATCCTCTGGCATTTTCTTCTTCTGTTTTTAGAAGTTTGTTTAAGATGATATATAAAGGCCACATCAATGACCTAGTAAACTAGGGTTTCTTCCCAGAGCTTGGACTGTTGTGCATAAAAACTACTTGAACTGTAAAGGTTGCAGTTAACTTTGTCTCATAGCGTTATCCTTCAGATTCTTTCGCCTCTTCTTACCTGCACTCCTACAGAAGTTTTTGATATGATATACATAAGATAAGAGGACATAAAAGCTACCAAACAAACCATATGTACCAGATCTGTAATAGTGGTTAATTGGTTAAGCAGTAGCATAAATGAAGAAGAAAACTGCAAGTTAACCAATGGCCAGACAACAAACTGCACCCACTTTAACTAATAGGCATTATTGAATAGGTAGGGAAGGTTATAATATTAGAAGCTATGAAAAGAGGAGGTTATGGCACCATAGATCCAAAGGCAACGAGAGTAAAGCTACCATCAAGGGCCTAACATTGCAATGTGTGAGATAAAGGAAGCAACAGTACAGATGCTTGAAATTTGAGTGATTACATGTGACACACATATTTATAAGCTAGGTAATGGCATGAGTTAATGTAAGAACTGAACAACAGCTGCCCCTCAAATATTAATCATTCCATTCAAAGGCACACTGCTACATAACTATTGACCCCAAGAGGACAAGAACACTTTTCGTGCTCTTATTATGTTTGCAAAGCTTCTTTACAATAAGTCTTCAAACATTTTGTTGCACTTAGAAGAGAATTATTATAATAAAATTAATAATGCTTTATCCAAAAACAAAAGAATGAGGCGTGTGTCCGAGTTAACTTGTTGAACTGTTAATTGAATAAGATAGTGGAGCCATTTCAAGGAAAATTGTAGAATAGAAACTTTAATAAACATATACAGTCTTACAAATTCACAGCATAGAACCCCCAAAACCAAAAGTTCAATGTAATCAATTAATACTTTGATTTAAAGTAGCCATATTGATAGACAGAAAGATAGATGAGATAACAGGGAAATATTTCGCTAAATGGAATTAGAGAGCCTTCTCGTTTGAACAAAATATAACTCAAAAAGAATGAAAAAGTTAGAAAAAAACCGTTGTTCAGAAATGGAAACAGAAGATCCAAGCATGCTAGTATCTGCACGATGGTTCTCGGTTAAAAGAAACCAAAATAAAAGAAAAAAACTGAAAATATTTGAAAATCCTTTCTGTAGGATAAGATGAAAGGAAAACGAGGTTACTTCTAGAGAAACTTCTGCGAATTCCAGCGTCTCTAACAAAATAAACAAGTAAAAGATCCAGCAGTGATTCATTCATGTCAAGAAACAGAAACGCAAAACGTAAGATGGCATAATTGGGAAATTCCGAGAAAAATAAAACGATTGAAAAAAAAAGGAGGTAGAAAGGAAGGCATGCCTTTGAAACCAGAAGCAAATGGAGGAATGTGATTGCTCGACCAGGTGAGAGAAAGAGACGCCCGTCCAAAGCCCAAAGGCCAGCAGAGACTTGCAGTTGGGCGTCTTCTTTTCTCCCTCCTTCGTTGTTGCCTTTCTTGAGTTTCTTCGTTTGTTATACAGCCGGCGCTTCTATCTTGCGCAGGTTTGCATCGCCGTTTTAAGTTACGCACTCTTTTTATTAGGCGGATTAGCAGAAGATAGTGTCAAGTCAACGATTATCCTTCACCTTTTCCTGAATTTAACAAAAAAACAGATAATGCTACGATACGAGTTAGTCAACTGGTAATTATCCACGAATGCATCATACACTGACCATCAGGAAATTTGTGGGCCCGTAACATGGGTGCAACCTTTCATCACAAATAGTAGTAGCCTAATCAAGTGTACTCACTGCAGGATGCAAAAACTCTAGGTCCTGTGTACAGATCAACCTCCCATTGGTCCACGTCATCCACCGATCCCTTAGCTATTCAACCATGCACCGGCGGGCGGGCGGGCCCTCACATGAAGAAGCGCATTGAAGCCTGAAGGTAGTTCACTGGATAATTAATCCGTACTCGATACGGGGAAGTTATATTCGGGTTAGACTATGAAAAATATATGATATCACACCGACCAATAAACCGGAATCATAAATGTGACAGCTAATCAGGTGTTATTTATTAAAATCTATGTTTGAGTTTTGATTGATCAAAATTCTTTCCATATCATATCTTTTTCATATTATAGATTTTCTCACTATGATATGTAAAAGATAAATTGGAATCATAATATTATTTGAGACCCATTATAATATGATATGGAAAAGATTGATTTTCCATATTGTTTGAGACCCATTACTAAAATGTTTTTTTTAAAGGTAAATTGCATTTCATATTGAACAACTTTTATTAATCATGAGTCATGAGCTGGCTTCATTTGCATTCGGACATTGTAAATCAATAAGACCACACGATATAACTTTACGTTTTTTGAGATCAAATCAGCCCCTCACAAACGTCTCACAGTACATTTCTGTCATGTATTGGGAATATCTCCCGATGATAATACTTAAAATGATGATGTTATCATCGGGAGATGTTCCCAATACTCGACGGAGATGTGTTGTGAGACGTTGTGGGGGGCTGATTTGAAGTCACATTTTTTGTATTGTTTCTTTTATTGAGTTAGGAGTTAGGACATTAGGGTTGCAAACGGATAAGATCAAATTGTATATAATTAGATTCATATATATTATCTGGATTGCAATTAATCCTGTATAACATTAACAATTAATAAATTAAGCTAAAATGATAAAAATATATTATATATTACTACTAAAATGAATTAAAAATAAATTTGATATTATGATTCATGAGAGTTCAAATCAGCCCCCATAAGATTGTCTCTCACAATGTCATACAGCACATCCCCGTACTAGGAACATCTCCCATGATGATATCATTATTTTTGATATTATCATCGGGAAATATTCTCAATACACATTTACAACATTCAAACCAATTTTACTGATATAAACAATATATCAGATTATATTGGATTGGATTCACTCATGCTCATTGAATTAATTATTAAATAAAATATATCAAATTTGATTTCAATTTTGTGGATGCTTTTTATTTGCTTCATGAAACCATATATACAATGGGGGTAGCCTGTTCACTAAACCCATAATCCCCAACTCTGCTGGCGAAGGCCAGGTCTCCGCTATAAACAACAAGAGAACCAACCAACAGTTGGTGAAAAATAGATATCATTTGCAATCATAGAAAAAAAAATTAAGAAAGGTTGTAAAGTAACTTTGTGATGATCTTTTTTATCAAAAATAAATAAATAAATAAAACCTGGTTTTGATGAGACCGGGATTTTAGAGCTGGGGTAGGCGCTGGCTACAAAATACATATTTTTTGTATGAATATAAATGCCCCACAGGCAAAGCCAGAAAATTGACCCTAATACATAGCTCTGTCACCAATTAATGGGCCCTGTAGAATATGTTTAACCATTGAATCTATATATAGCCCATATATTAGGCTACAAGAAAGAGCGATAAAAAAGGTTTATAGGGGTAGAATATATATTTATTATTCTTTTAGCTACTAAATTTCAATGCATTAAACAAAAGCATCACAGCACCAATTAGATGGTAATTTAGAAGTTAAGACATGAACAATAAAATTAAAACTGCCTATGAATAAAAAGAATCTCAAAGAAGTCTCTGTACAGGTGCAATAATACAATGGGCGTCTGCAATAATATTCTGAATTCTCCAGGGAGAGAGGACATATCTCTTCTGATCATAAGATTATTTTTTAAGGATTTTCTGATCATAAGATTCTTTTTTACGGATTTTCTGATCATAAGATTGATGACTGACTGACAGTCACACTTTGGAGATGTTTGGATCCACGTCGGCAATTCTTTAGGTAGGTGTTTGGCATGGGTGCTGGGAACATTACATCGTTTTGTGAGAAGATGGTGATTATTTTTTGTTTGAAACAGGTGTTGTTATATGGGCTGTTTTCTAAGAAAGCAGCACTAGTTTTGTTTGGTATCACTGCTATCAGCTATGTTTTTAACATGGTCTATATTATTTATATATATATATATATATATATATTTTTTTTTTTACAGCCACATTGATGCTATATTGTTGCATCGTTGGCAGTAATACACCATTTTCTTAGAAAACAATGAATTTGGCATTGTTCCAGACCACACTTTCTTGATTTCCAAAGCATAGTTTGGAATAACATTTTTTCTAGAGAAATGGTACCAAATAAGAGGATGTTGTCTGAAACACCACTTTCTCTTATGTAGTGCCTATGTGGCACCATTTTCTATCCATTTTCTCAAAAAACGGCATTGATGCCAAACACCCACTAGAATGTCGATTTTTTTAACTGATTTTCTTGATTGTTTGGAAAATCATTGAAAAAAAAATTCCTGAAATCAGGCCTAAAGGAGGGATCACCATTTTTTGGTGCATGATTCCCCGATTTCTAGCTGATTCCTTTTTATCTTTGGGATGACATGGCATCCTATGTGTAAAGTGGAGTCAGTGTGATCTGGTGCTTCACAAATCAATGGATATGTCACTTCATGCTAAGACATGTTGATTTTTTTTTCTTTGTGATATTTTTATGCATTTAATGCTATCATTTTTTAGAAATGTTTGCAATCTCTACAGTTGTATGTGATATCTTAGACCGTTTGATATGAATTTATCTTTCAGGCCATTACATGGTATCTAAAACATGTGAGTACAGTACACTGAATAATAACTCCACTTAAAAAAAAATACCCTTTAGAATCACTGCCAAATAAATTCATAACCGAATTTAAAAAAATCGGGATACATAATAAAAGTGATACCAAACAACAAAAAATTATGATTTTTTAGAAAATCACTGATTCCACAGTAATCACTTATTTGTTTGAAAAATAAGATGTGAGATATCATCATTGATACCAAACATCACCTAATCTGAATCACCTTCTCTATATGCAAGAAGCCTAGAAATGGGTTTTTATAAAACTATACAATACTTATCCACTCTAATAAGTAATAACATAGAGCTAGCAAGGGGAAGTTGATGAGGATGAGGATTTGAAGGGAATATGGAAAAACTATAATAAATTAATAAATAACAGTATTCAATGTAATATTTATTAGACAAAGCTATGAGGAGAATCATACTAATAAATAAGATGTACTTAATGTACCCAAACT